AGTTGTTAATGAAGCCTCCAGATCATATAACCCATTTCATAGTGATTCTGGATTGGATTATATATTTTAATATGATCCGGAACGCTCTATTAACAACCCTAATAATTATAAATGAATATGATTATAAAAAGATCAAAAATGCAAAAAATACTTAAATTTAATAAATATATTAATATGTTATATAAAGTATTCTTTTTGAAAAAGATATGAATCTAATTTAGTTAAAGATTATTTATTTAGTATAAAAATTGTATTATGAATTTTGATTTTATAAAAACATAATTTTACTCAAGAAATCAAAATTTAAAGAGTATATTTATGTATATAATATTATATTATAACTTGTTAAACTTTTAAATATTTGATACAATTATAATTTATTGATTAATTTAAATAATTTTGATATTATTTAATTTATTTTAACAAGACAAAGCAAATAATATCAAAATTTAGATTTGATCACTGAATTTATAATATAATAAATACTTAAATTTCATATTAAAATAATTTTTATTCTAAACTTGAATATTTAGTATATTTTAAATTAAATTATATTAGTTTTATATATTTATAACTTTCAAATATTTTTTATATAATTCAATTAGATAGAAAAGATAATATAATATTATTTAACTAAAATACTAAAAATAGATAATATATATATATTAACTTTTACAAATAATTGAATAACTAATTTTGAATAAATCTAATTAAAAATAATAAATTTGATTAAATATTACCAACTTATTAATTATTTGAATATTTTATGATTATCAAAAAATTTGAACTTGAAAGAATAATACAAAATTATAAATTATCTTATTAACAATAATATATTATTTTAATAAAACAAAAAAGATAAAAATATAATACTTAAAGTAATTAAATCTATGAAAGTAGAAGAAATATTATTTAATAAATATCTAATAATTTATTTTTGACATTTTGAAATTGAAGCAATATATTATAAAATCATATATAATTATTATTAATAAAAAATATTAAAAATTATATAATATTTATAATAAAATTTTATAAAATATTAATAAATATTATAAATTATAAATATTTTTTAAAAATAGATATTTTTAATTAAAATTTAATAAAAAAATATATTATTTAATAATTAATTAACTAATTAATAAAAAAACTAATTATTAATTAATAAATAAATAAATAAATTAATTAATTATAATTTTCAGAAAATAGTACTCTTTATTAATATATTTATTTTAATTTGTATTTGAAACTAATTAATATTTTTTATAAAAATAATTATAAAAGATTTAAATATAATTTATAATTATTAAACTAATTAAATTTGATTTTAATAATTATAAATTATATTATTTGTTTTATAATTATTAAATATATAAAAATAATAAGTTTTTAAATAAAAATTTTTATTTAAAACAAAAATTTTTATTTTTATTAATAAAATTACATATAGTGACAATTAAAAATAATGTAATTATATCAAAATTTATTAATTAAATATAATAAAATATAGATTTTTCTTTTTATATTAAAGTTTTCAATTTTACTAATAAATATTTTTATTTTTATATTAAAATAAAGATAATATTATATATTTAAACATATATTTTTTTCAGATTTTTTAGATTTAATCTGATAAAGCTATTCTAATTATATATAAAGTTAATTTTTTTATATGTTTTAATTATAAAAAAATAAATGACTTTATATGCAATTAAAATAGTTTTAGAAAAAAATATATATTAAAATACATATTCCTATACTATATTACTAAAAATTAAAAAAAAATATAATAAAATATAGTAAAATTGACATTATTGCTTTATATTAAAAATTGTTATTTTATTAATAAATATTTTTTATTTTTATACTAAAATAAAGATGATAAACTATATATTTTTAATATATATTCTTCTAGAATATTCTAGAAAAATATATATCAAAAATATAGGTTATCATCTTTATTTTAGTATAAAAATAAAAAATATTTATTAATAAAATAACAATTTTTAATATAAAGCAATAATATAAATTTTACTATATTTATTATATTTTTTTTAATTTCAGTAATATAGTATAGAGATATGTATATCATAATATCTTTATTTTAATATAAAAATAAAAAATATTTATTAGTAAAATTGAAAACTTTTATATAAAGAAAAAAATTTGTATTTTATTATATTTAATTAATAAATTTTGATATTGTTGTATTATTTTTGATTGTTATTATATTTATACAAATTTAATATTATTAAATTTATTTTAAAATTAATATATATATAATTAATATTATTAAAACAAATTTAAATTAATCAAATTTTGGCTTTAATTTATTTTTTGATTATAATAAATTACTTAGTAAATAACATAATTTTTTGCAAGTAATCAAAAATTAATTTTTTGATCTATTTAAATTTTGTTTGAGTTTTAAAACAAAAAATATAATAAGTTATATAATATTTTAAGTATTTTGTACTATATATATTTTAATTTATATAAAATACAAAAAATTTTGTTATTAAAAAATTATTTGACTTAAAAAAATTATATTAAAACTATATAATACTTTACAAAAATAAAAATCATGAAAAACTAAATTAAAATTATATTATTATAATAATTATTAATAATATTTTTAAATATAACAATAATATTTAAGCTTATATTAATATAAAAAAAGAATATATTATATATATTTTTTTAAGATTATAATATTATACTAAGTGATCTTTCAGAAATAAATTTTGTAATTATTTTTTAAAAACTAACTATTATTATTTTTATGAGAACTACAAAAAGCAGAAAATTTCAAAAATGATGATAAGCAAATTTTTTTAAAATGACTGATCACGCCAAAAATTTATTAATAAAATATAGTAAATTTAAAATTTCCTCTTTATATTAAATTTTCATTTTTATTATGAAATATTTTTTATTTATATGAGAATAAAGATAATAATCTATATTTTAACATATAATTTTTAAATTTAATTAGAAAATAATTTCTGATATCAAAATGAATGTAAAATTTTTTTATGAATAAAATACAAATTTAATTATTAAAAAAGTTTACACTCATTTTGCATTCAGAAATTATTTTCTGATTAAATTTAAAAAATTATATGTTAAAAGTATAGATTATTATCTTTATTCTCGTATAAAATAAAAAAATTCAATATAGAGAAGATTTTAATTTTTACTATGTTTTATTAATAAATTTTTTGGGTCAGTCATTTTGGTAACCCACTGAACATGTACTATCGCGACTGTACCATAAACACAACCTACTGCTACGTATCATGTACGACGTAGATGATCAAACAATCTCACATTAGCGTTAGTACATTTCTAATGGATATTATTTGTACTATTGTTAGTATAAACCCAATTACTTTCGAGAGTGTTTCCACGCAAGGAACACGTATTCTAGATTATATTCCGGGTATTACATGTGCTTGGAATAGTTCTGCTCAAAGAATTTGTCCGTCAACCTGTAAACAATTGTAGAGGGATCCTTGATTTGGTGTTTTTCAGTCAGTAATATCTAAATCTTTATTTCATTTTTCTACCAATATCGATATTAAAAAAGCCAACTATCTCATTCTATGTTATGAGTAACAGCATACGTAATCAGGTACAGTACGTATGTAATTTAATCGCATTACAGCTTATTGTTATCATTTATTAAATATGCTTGCAGTACTTTCCAAAATTCTTCATTTAATTTTTCGTCTATTTGTTGTTTTTTTGTCTTACCTATATATATGTATGTATGTATGTATTTTTCATGTTAATACCCAATTTAACCTTTAATGAATTAAGGCGGTTTTGATTTTGAAAAAGCTTATTGTTCATAGGCACGTTGCAGCTCTCTTGCAAGGTTAAACAATTTATATCTCAAAAGAAACGAAAGTAGAAATATTCTAATACATTATTTTTTATATGTCTGCTCACCTATTATCACTAAGGATGCAGACTTATTGGTCACGTCTTATAAGAAGTCTATGACGAGACTAATACGTGTAGAGTTACGTCACGTAGATAATTTTGCATCCTTAATTATTACTAAGTACAAGATTTTACTGCCAAAAAGTTTATATAAAAACAATGCATGGTTTATAATGTTTCTTCAATTATATAAAGCTTTATTCTTGTGAATAAAAAGTTAGTATGTTATAGCAGTAATGTCTAAATTAATGATTAATAATGTGAGAATTCGAATATACCATTCTATTTTCTAAGTATAAGATTACGCAAAATCTTCTAAATTAATTATAAAACTTTATTCTGATTCATGATGTCTTTTCCACTAACTCCAGAAAAAACAAAAGTAGGCAGACTTCCAGTTCTTTGATTAGAATACCCGAATTGATCCGAGGATGCGTTAATATTTAATCCACTGGTATACGCTTGGCCATTTGGTCCAATGGCAAACGCGTTGCCTTGTCCCATATCGCCATGATTATCCGAAGAAAAGGTTACATTACTAATATTATCATTTTCGGGGATCGGTGCTGCATGAATTGTTATGACGGTGGCGAAAAGTGCGAGAAAAATTCGAATGAAAAAGTTTAAGTTGAAGGATTGAGTCATATTTGTTATCAGTGAGAGAGAAAATCTGTGAATAGAAATATTTGCCCTAAAAGAAAATTTAGACTTGTTGTTTTGACTGAATCAGTCGAAATTCGACTTATTTATAATAAATCGCTTTTTAAAAGCGACAAATATGTATAAAATAAAAGTCGACTAAACCTTTGTTTTAAATTCAAGAACAAAAGTCATACAACAAAAGGCGCATTTCTTTTGTTTGAGATTTCTAAATTTATCATATACGTAACTTATAAATGTATGTACTTGGATCATCTGATTAAAACAACTAACGTTAGCAATTACCGTTACGTGAACTTAAATTAATTTAATGAATGCTAGTTTCTAGCAATTACATCTTTATATCGAATTTTTGTTATTTCAGGCTGGCACCGGTTTAGGTTCAATAGGTTGATGTTGATTCGCTCATTCACAATAACTATTTTCGTAAAACAAAATTTTGTTAAATAATTTTCTAATTCCAAAATATTGACGTTATTATACATGTACTTCTGCAAGATGATGATGATGTTATCAGTATCCCAAATCTTCGTTTAATTTCTGACAACAAAACTGGCATAATACATTTTCCCGCAAAGTTTTCGTCCGAGTCAACAGTCAAATTTCGATGTCGCTGGAGTATTTATTAACAGTTTTTTCTTTTTACTCTGGAAAGCGTCTGCTCGTATTTCACGGCTCGAGTATCCTTTTCTTGAAAGTTTTGAGAAAATGAAAGATAACATTTAGTTTGATTATAGCACCACGTAATTCCGGTTTTGTTTAATACAATTTCAAAATATCTCGTCAGCAAATTAATTTACTTGGCATATAGCGATAGCTCAAATAAATTTACACGTACTTCATGATCTTGATAATATATTGATATGAAATTTCTCATAGAAGTCTTGCAATTCTAAAATTTGTATTAGATTTATTGAACTGCTCTTTATAAAATACACATGTGATAAAACTGGAACAGTACTTGCGTCTGCTGTAATTGTATACGCTGACACTAACGCTAACCACAAGGGACATATATTTATTTATTCGTTTACTTGTGCCCAAAATGGATATTCTGGGTAGCACAAGATGGAGAGTAAATTTTTAATCAACTCGGCAAAACAAACGTAAATCTACTAATTAAAATTGTCGGGAAGTGAGTTTGCATATAATTCTATTTCTAACAGTGAGCCTCTTGTACGCCAAATCTATATTATCAACTAATTTTTTCGTTTTGTCGTTCAATTATCATAATAATGTTACTGCTTAAATTCGGCTTCATTCAGAAAAATGAAAGAGAATCTGGCTTTGCGAGAAACAGAATTTAAGCATTTGAGTAATTTTTTATTCGTTTACTGTCTTATTTGATAAAGATAAAAAAACATAAAGCGAGTGAACCGGATACTGAGGATATTGAAAATATCAAGCGTGACATTGAAAAGTACTTATCATTAGAGATAGTTCAATGTGAAATGCTGACACTGAGAAAGAAGTGTATAAAAACCAAGTACGTATCGTAATGAAAACCGGAAATTCTCCGGTTGATCAAAAATTTATCGGCTACCTAAAAAAACTAACCGGGATTTTAGAGAACCCTAACCCCCATAAATAAATTCCACAAGGGGAGCATACAAAATTTACTTCCCGACATGTTAATTACGAGCTAGATTTAGGCATCTGTATTTCATTTTCTTAAAAACTCTTATTGTGCTAATATTAATTAAGCTACCATTTCTTGTCGGATGCTGTGCTGATCAATCAAACAAAACGTTTTTTTGATACACTTGAATGCACCCCCAATTTAGGTTACTTTTTTTGATACATGTCGCAATCTAGTGCTAGGATTAGAGTTAGTATTAGAGTTGAAGTTAGAATTATATGTAAAATTGCCTTCCCGACATTTTTCATTAGATTTAGGCTTAAAAAACGTGACTATGCTTCGACGTGTATAAAAAAGTAACCTAAATTAGGTGTGCATCAGGCATCAGTGGCCTGTTACATTAGTAAAAAGGTGGTTTATGTGGCAAATTACGGTACGTACAGTCAAACCTCTATAACGGCCCGGCATATAACGGATCCTCTTTATAACGAATGAACCGTCATATATTACATGTATAACGATACGATAATGAATTTATTTTATAAAATCCAGAAACATAAAGAGGGTTTGACTGTACATTGTACCGAAAAAGGAAATAAATGTACGTATATGGCGGCGGAGTAATATCGATATGATAATTTTAGAAATTAATCCATTCCACTACTGCTACATGTACATGTATTAAGGATAAAAAGAGGTCCCACTATCAACTTCCAAATAAATAATAATTAATCATTTAAGTTAGCCAATAGTATATTCACGCGTAGTGCTTAATATGGTAAGTAAGATAACGATAAGAACTTTAACATTAACGATAAACTAAAAATAGTCGAAGAGCAGATAAATATAATTTGCAGTCAGATGATGTGCTTTTTTGTATTCACATATAACTATATAAGTAATAAAAAAAGTGCTCAACGTTGTACTTATTGCTTGTATCTTTTCTTCAACATTTAATAAATAAAAACATAGATAATGGATAACAATAATGATCAAGAAATTTTGGAACATCACAATTTTATCGGTGCCGAGACTATTATCAATAAAAATGAAAATGGCAAAAATGACAAAAATTCCCTGAACACGAAAATTGAAATTGGTATGCCATAATATTTATTGGATATTTTGTTCTTGAGTTTGTCGAAATAAAATTAACTCAATTTTTTTATAAAAAAGATCATATTTCATCCGAATCAACACAAGGAGTCGATCTTTCTTGGAAAGATTTATCTTATGAAATTACAAATTCAAAAACAAAAAAACGTCAAAAGATTATTGAGAATATGTACGGTGTCATTGAAGCAGGCGAAGTGTTAGGAGGTAAGGTTTCGATGATTTTATTAAAAAATTATAATTAATTAACATCGTAATGAAATTTTGCATATACTAGTATTAGGTCCATCGGGGTCAGGTAAATCTACGTTGTTAGATGTCTTGGCTGGGCGTAAAGATAAAAAATTGGTTTCTGGTGAAATATGTCTGAATGGAAAACCAGGACAACCTAAACATTTATCTACTTACGTTATGCAAGAACATGTTATGAATGGTACGCGTAAACATCCTCATGTTTTATTTATCTAGCATAGCATAGTTTTAACTTTATCATCATCCATTATTAGGCGTATTGACAGTACGCGAGAGTATCCAATTTGCTGCGGATTTATGGTTAGTATTCATGATGCTTCTATTCATGAATTTCATTATTAACACTGCATTCTTGTTGCATAAAAACTAGTTTCCCCAAATCCTATTCTGCCGCAGATCGAAGGGCCCGTGTTCAACAAATTATCACGGAATTTGGACTAGACAGAGTAGCCGAGTCAAAAATCGGAACAAATTTTGTTCGAGGAATTTCAGGTGGTGAAAAACGTCGCGCTTCAATTGCAACCCAGATTCTCACACATCCAAAAATTATATTCCTCGATGAGCCGACTACCGGCTTAGACTCCGCAGCATCTTATAATGTAATAAAAGTAATCGTTGAGATGGCACAAAAATATAACTTAACGGTTATTGCGAGTCTTCATCAACCATCAACGAAAACATTCGAATTACTTGATAAAATATGTCTTATTGCTCGTGGTCGCACGGTTTACTTTGGCGACCGAGAACCAGCGAATGACTTTTTCGAAAGAGCGGGCTACCCGGTTCCGTCTTATTTCAATCCAGCAGATCACTTTTTATATGTAATTAATTCGGATTTTAACACGGACAAAAGAAAGGGCGAAGATTATGTAATGAAGTTGTCAAATGAATTCAAAAACTCAAGAGAAAGTGCAGAAATTCAAGAGAAAATAACTACATTAATTCATAAGCATCAAGGCAAAGAGGATATAGTATTAAAGGTTATGTCAAAAAAGAAATCAAGATACGAACGAAACTTTTTCCAACAATTCATTATACTCTTGAATCGTTGTTACAAAAATAATATCAGGAATATCTTATTATTTTGGATTCGGATGTCATTCTCTATTTCTTTATCTCTATTAATGGTGTCCTATTGGTGGAAGCTTGGAGATAAATTAGAGCAAGACAGTGTTCTCAGAAGGATGACCGCTCATTTCTATTCAATTACTCTATTGACATCTTTAAGCGTAGCGGCTGTGCCAGTATTTTTAGAGGAGCGACTTTTATTTGAGCGAGAAAGATCCAATCACTTTTACTCGGCTGGACCATACGCGCTTTCGCATACAATCATGTCATTACCATTTGTTCTAATCATCACATTGACCTTTACATCAATTTCTTATCCACTGGTTGCACTCAACAATGACATTTACTCAATAATCAATTTCATAATTCTACTGTTTCTCGCTGCATTAGCATCAGAGTCAACTGTTATTTTCATTTCGGCAATAATTCCAGACTTTGTCATTGCTATTTCAATCGCTAGTTTCGCTCACGCATTTTGGATGATGAGCAGCGGTTACGTCGTCACTCCAAGCACCTTACCTCTGCTTTTGAGTTGGGCATATCGTATCAATTATCAACGATACACATATGAAGCGATACTCGTAAATGATTTCGTCGGGTTAAAATTCGGCTGTCAGGAATTACCACTTGCTGTCGATGATATGCCGTTATATAGTTGCTTGTATGGTGATAAATCGGGACTCTCGAGTCAATTCTCCGGTGCAGATGTACTACAAGAACTTCAATATGATGAAACCAAAATTTGGTTGTGGACGGTAAGATGAGATGTTCTCTTCACAATTTTTATTGAATTTGAGAGCTTTATATATTAATTTGTTTCTTTTTTGCCATCAGGTTGCCATCATAATCGTCATTTTGGTTTTCCGTTTCTTATTTTATCTATTAATTCGTTTTAGAAAAGCACGCAGTTAATTCGTAATTGAACTTGTTAGATAAACTCGCGATGTTTCTAGTTAACTTGTGTAAATTTTTATTAAAATTTATATAAAAAATTATAGAAAAAGAATCAACTGTATCGATATCGATACGCTAATTAATATCTATAGTCTGCTACGTATATGGTGACGATTTCCAGAAATCGTTTGGAAACGATTACGACTATGGAACTGGAAACTTGGTCGGCGAGTATTTCTGTCGATTCCTCTATGGAAGCCGTCGTTAATAAATTCGAAAAAGTTTGCCTATTTTTTTAAAAAAATGGGAAGCAAATTTAGTAAAATCGCTTGTCTGTATCATACAATTTATATGAAATAACCAAATATTTGTCACCCTACCCTAAAGAATTGTTTGAGAGATCCAGTTCTTTGTTGTGTAATATTTTGCACGTCGTTAGTGACACGACCAGCTTCATTGCTAACTCTGGCAAACTCCAAAATATCGATACTAATTGTGACATTG